CAAGAAAAGAGGCTCAACACCTTCCACATGCGAAACCTCAGGCGAATCCTTGGTATCAAGTGGTCCGACTACATCACCAACAAAGACGTCTTGGAACGTGCCAACATCCCCAGCATGTACACCCTCCTCCGTCAGCGTCGCCTTCGGTGGCTCGGCCACGTCCGCAGGATGGAGGACGGTAGGATCCCCAAAGATCTCTATGGAGAACTCGCAGTTGGAAAGAGAACACAGGGCCGCCCACAGCTTCGTTTTAGACGTTTGCAAGAGGAACTTGAAGGCTGTTGAGATAGATAGATAGATGGGACTCACTGGCCCAGAACCGCCCAAACTGGAAACAAGAACTGGCACGTGGTCTGTGCCGAGGGGAGGAGAAGATGAGAGCATTGGCAGAAGACAAGAGAGCCAGGAGAAGGAACAGCCAGGACAAACAAGCTGCACTCCAACTGTGTGTTCAGGTGCATCCACTGCAACAGGGACTGTCACTCCCGGATCGGCCTCTTTAGCCAACCAGACGGTGCTCCCAGTCAGGCACAAACAGATAATCACACTGTGATTGAAACGCCAATGATACGAGGATAATATTTGCACTTTTATTTGGTATGCATTTGTAGCAACAGCATGATAACATTTCTTTGTTTTTATTTGCGTTTTATATTCATATTGATAATTCACGTTTTGTCTTGGATAATAAAGCACGGTTATGCATAATAAATTGTATTATCTGAGCGCTAAGGAATGTTGTTAAAATGTTGATGTTTTTCTTGCATTTGAATGCATGATATAATCAAAATGATTAACTGCATGTTTCAGGAACACAAAGTGAGTATGATTGTAATATTTGAATGTAGTATTTTGACTGTGTTTTTCAAGTTGACTGTATCATGTGTAGATGCTTTCATATTTGTTGCCTGCCTGCACTAACTTCTAACTTGTGTAGAAAATCTTGGCGATTTCAAGTTACATATGGTTATGGTCTTGCTTCATAACTCACTGTAAAAATATTAAATCACCCCCTGTATTTTTGTCACAAACTAATATCTTACTAAACATTTACTTCATTTATTGTGATTAATTCTTGTCATCAACCCTGTCTATATATCACTCTTTAATATGTTAATTGGTTCAGTGTAAATTAAATATTTTTAATACTATCAGCAATAAATAAAGTATGTAAATAAATATACACATATATGAAAGAGGATCAGTTCAACGAATGCAATTTTTTTCATCTTTTCTAAAAATCTTACTGCATATTGTAATTTATTTTCCAATTTCTAATATATCAATGAATATATGAGGATTGATTTACATTCTGAATGTTAAATAATATGCATGAATGAATTCTGTTGCAAAGACATTTCTTTAATGGAGTTAAATTTTTTTCAGGCACTGGTTCTTGGAGTTCTTGCTGAGCACAGCCTTCCCTTGTCATTGGTGCCTGTTATTATCCATACTGCAAAGGAGCTAGCGAAACTGCACACACCAGTTGACAGAAATCTGTGTGTGAATATGAGAGGGGCTGCCAAGATGCAGAAAGAAGACTGGGCCAAAGCTGCAGCTGACAAGAAGAAACGTGTGGAGAAGCATTCACTGGCTGCATCTGCAGCTGTCTCAAGTGTCAAGGCCAGAGATTGCTTGAAAGACAAGGAGATGGCAGCAAGAAAATCTCACCAACAGGAACTGAAGAGGAAAGCTGTTCAAAGATTGACACAGCTGGCTGCCAAAAGAAGGAAGTTGTTGAATTAAAACTGATAAACTGACTTGTAAATAGTGTGTAAATAGTGTCCTCTGGTGTGTAAATAGTGACTGAAGACAGTGAGAAAACTGGAGAAAAAAAGTGAGTTAAAGTTATATTAAATTTGCCGATTAATGTTATTCCACAATTTCATTTTTCTTTCCTTTTTTGCATTAAATTGTACTTTCATTTCACTGCAAACCTCTCAGCTTCAGGGGGTGGTGGCGGAGCGTGTGGGGTGGTCTATGCGC